TGGAAGGAGTAGGAAGTTTGTTTAATAGGTCGCTTTGGAAGCTGAAGTGTAAATAGTCACACAAGTCATTAGGTTGATTGTCGTCTTATTCACGAGGCAGCTGTGAATTAGTCTTTGGAAGAGTTGCCCTTTTAATCTTTCTAACCTTGGTTTCTGTACCCTGCCTTTTAAGATCGTGTCCTGAACGACGGGACAGTTTGGAACAGAGTACAGGAATTTTGAGGAGGCTTTGTAATTTGCAGAGTTTTGCCTGCGTTTTTAGATTTGCCTAATTCATAAGTGAAATCTTTTCGTGAATTTTTAAAGATTGGAGCTGACGTTTACGTGCATGGTGTACTTACCCTGAAAAAATGTTTGCTGACATTTCGTATAGTTATTTATTATTTTAGAGTGGCCAACACTATGATGTATCTGTTATGTACTGTTAGGAGGACTTTGTTGGCTCTGTTGTGTTACTTATTCCATAAAGTAATATTCCATTTTGACAAATGAGTCTGGCTGTATTCATAAAGTATCATCGGTTGGAAGATAAGAAATTTTTAAAACCCTTCTGAAAGTTTGGAAGATGCAAAACACAGCTTTTCCGAAAGCTTTTACAAAAGTTTTTTTTTAAGGTATGCCTAACATAGCTATCTAAACTACAATATCTATAGCTAAAGCAATCCACAACAAAGATATACTGAGTTTTTTAACAGACATTGACTGGCAGGTTGCATTTGAAATTTATTAAAACGAGTATTTGTTGTCTTAGCTTGATTAATATACATACTTTTATTTTTATGTCATTAAATGTTTCGTAAGTATCATAAGTTATTGCATATTTAGAGTTCTGCTAATAACTTTTCAACATCTGTTTCTCGATGAAGAAAGAATATGAGCAAAGTTTAGTACCTCTTAGGAAAATATCAAATTTCCATTGACCTGAATAACTGAAAAGTAATGTTATAAGCATTAGCAAACAATTTGGTTTTAATAATCATAAGTCATCTGATCTAAAATGTCATTTTAAAGTTGGGATTTGTGAGAATAAAATGAGAATCTGCAAAAGGTGTGCACGAGAATTTTTTTAGTATGAGTGCTATATAAAGGAGTTTTGGCCATACTAGCTATTATATAGAAATCTGTATGTTTATAAATAGTGTCCTGGAATATGAGTAGAAATATAAGTAGAAATGATGCATAACAACCTATACAGACCTTAATAATTAGAGTAGCAAGAGGCTGTATATTTAATTTAAGTCTTTTCCAAGTGTTCTGACGGAAGTGAAGCCAAATGGGTGAGCTGTCTATGCTTTCAGCTCCCTGTTGTTTCCCTTGGAAAATGAGATAGTTTGCTTCGTAATTCATTAATGTTGATTTTCTTTAAAATAAGCAGTAATATAAGAGAAACTGAATTTCAAAACTTAAGCCACATGTTTCTGATACCGTTGAAACCAGGTGTGTAAGCAGGGTATGCAGAAGGTCCATGATCAAATGCTGCCTGTTTCTAGCAATAAATGACAGTTTGGTTTGTGTCAGAGTTGCCATCCAAAATAAGCAAACAAATGACTGTCTTAAATTGAGCATGGCTTAACTATAAAAGGCGAATCAAACTTCTTTTTAAACAAAATATTTGCACAACTCCAAACTGTGAGATTCTAGGATTGATTTCCTACAGAAACCTCAGTTGCAATCAGTGGTACTTAGAGATGGTAAAGGTAGAACAAAAATCAGTGGTACTTAGAGATGGTAAAGGTAGAACAAAAATCAAAGAGTTTCCAACATTATTGTACATTCCAAAGCCAGCTGTAAAAAAAAATGCAACATTGCACATCAGGTTCTGAACCTGGCAACTCAAATTTACATTTACAGAGTGGGAATAGCTTGTGAAGGGTTTGCTTCCTGAATCACATACCGGGCAATTTCTTGTTCAAAACAAACAGCTTATTGTTACTCCAACGATAGAATATTCTCTAGCTGCTAACTTGGGCTTCTTCAAAGAAATTTGAATGAGAGCCTGTGGATTTAAAAGGACTATTTAGTTTCATTAACCTCTTTCTCTTAAAAATTTCCCTTGGCTCTGACAAATAAGAGGTTTCTTTTTGCAGGTCACTTCTACTCTTTTCTAATCTAATATTCATATGCCAGAATTGAAAATATAACTGCAATGAAGCCTGACTACCCTACCCCCAAATATTTGTTCAGCTTTAATGATACAAAATTGGCTAGTTGTGGAAGACTTTATTTTAAAGGTCTAATCCAGAAATCATCCTTAATATCTCAAAATTAATGATAAACAAATGACTTTTCAGATCTCTATCTGAAGTTTAACCAAATTAATTTTCAAAAATGAGACCTTTCCCCACCTTGAAGATACCGTTATAGTGGAGCTCTGGAGCTTTGGGAGACTTAAAAATAAATGAATAAAAAAAAATAAATAAGCTTCTATAGACTCCTTAAAACCTTCATTCTCCCTTAATATTTTTGACTTAGGTTGTTTCAATCACCTTGCATCTTCCCTGGATTTTCATGATGATCTACATGGG